GCAGATTTGCAAATATTTCTGTAAAAGCGAGACATGTAGCAAGTCAAGCAAAAAGCACCGCAGAAATTTGTCATGTTCATTGCAAAAGATGGGAAAAGAAGCCAACTGACAAATCAATATTTTATGTAAAGTTTTATCGACCAAAATTTTTCGATTTTAGTGTTAAATATTTATTTCAATTTGTGGTAGGACATTTGGCGAGGTTTCCTGTCCATTGGGTTTTGAAGCTTGGACTATTTCAGTGTCAATTTTTATAAGTCAAAGATAAAACAAAATTTCGAGATACAAGTCGTAGATGTGTCTAGCCCAAAATGTCATAAAATGATAGTTTGTTGCGGCGATAGTGACTTAAGAACAATGAAGCATTTTTATATTCCATAACAATTTCGTTTTCATAGCTTTGTTTAAAGTGAAACACGTTGTTTAGCATGTTTTGCAGGGATGGATGAATACCTTGATCATAGATGAATAACTGTCTATAAAACCAAAAATGTTTTCTCATTCACCAAGAAATGAAAATTATGCGTGCAGTAACAGAGGGAAAAGTGTATTTATTTACTAACCTTACACTGATGACCGAGCAGCTAGCCTTGCAGAGCTGTGGTGAGTGTTGCAACCAATGCGAATTTGAGCGTATATCGTTAGGTTGTCATCAGATCAGCCGTCTAAAATAAACAGTTTACAATTATTGAGCAGTCCACATTATAGTTGTACATCACAGTGTGTTCTTAGCTTTTGAGTTTTAGGGCTATCAAGCTTCAATATCCATGTTTGAACAAGGCAACAGAGAGACAAAACAAGAAATATCCACCCACACAAAAGAACCAATTGCCAATTCTAACTAAGATTCCTTGAGGATCATAGACAAATAAAGTGGTTTTTGGAAGGTATTTTGAGATTTAACGGTAAAACATTGCCATGCCCATACCTGCTATTACCTTACAATCCCGTCCCAGCAGTATATGATTATTCTTGAATTTAGGCCAAGCCCAGCGAAAGCTGAAACTGTCACAAAGAACTTCGCCCTTCCACAGATCGTGGCAAATAAAAAAAATTTAAATCAAATATTTGATTTTGAAAGAGTTTTCACTCCACAACGCAACAATACTGGCTGAGAACGCTGACAATGTGATTATTATGGAAAGCTGCGTAGAAAATGATCTGTTTTATTGACTCTTCAAGTAGTGCAATAAAAACAGACATTTTCCAACAGTCAACAAGAACCGTTAATCAAATATAACAAATAACACAGAGTGCAGTGTATAGACCTCGATCCAGACTCCAAACAGGGACCGCAGAATGTTTGTAAACAGAGTGGGCGGTGTTTATTTGCATTCTGCTAAAAGTTTTTTAATTTTCCGATAAATCGTATGCGTTGAATTTTGGAAAAAGAAATCCAATCCAAAAACTATTGCCTTGTGAAGTCGTTTAGTGCTTATTCGATAGCCCCTAAACCACCTTGTTCCGAGAAACATGGCCCGCTATTACAAACCCTGCTCATATCTAACTGACGGCTTTCTCGAACCAAAATTCCAGTCACTTTGATTCTGTCATACAAATTCACTTGTAAATATTCCCTGTATAGAGAACTCTCGCCATAACTTACCCTCGATATAACGAAGCCCTCGATATAACGAAACCCTCGCCATAACTTACTCTCGATATAACGAAGCCCTCGATATAACGAAACCCTCGATATAACGAAACCCTCGATATAACGAAGCTCTCGATATAACGAAGCCCTCGATATAACGAAACCCTCGCCATAACTTACTCTCGATATAACGAAGCCCTCGATATAACGAAGCCCTCGATATAACGAAACCCTCGCCATAACTTACTCTCGATATAACGAAGCCCTCGATATAACGAAGCCCTCGATATAACGAAACCCTCGCCATAACTTACTCTCGATATAACGAAGCCCTCGATATAACGAAGCCCTCGATATAACGAAACCCTCGCCATAACTTACTCTCGATATAACGAAGCCCTCGATATAACGAAGCCCTCGATATAACGAAACCCTCGCCATAACTTACTCTCGATATAACGAAGCCCTCGATATAACGAAGCCCTCGATATAACGAAACCCTCGCCATAACTTACTCTCGATATAACGAAGCCCTCGATATGACGAAACCCTCGATATAAGGAAGCCCTCGATATAACGACACCTCGATATAACGAAACCCTTGGTATAACGACACCTCGGTAAAACGAATTCAATATTACGAACCAAATTAAACTTAAGTTCCAAATTGAAACGGGGATTTTGATGATTGCAATGTGAAAGACAAAAATTTAAGGAAGATTTGAATAGTCAGATTTTCATTGAAAAGACTATGTAAATCTAAGGACAAGAGGATTTTGTATTATTCTAAAAAACAATATAGTATTTTTACACAACATATTCCAAGCTCTACCTTTCCTTCCTACCTCCAAGTCCTGATTCTTGCAACAGCTTATGACAAATATTTTATCTCTGTGCATTGCATGTTTCACTCAAAGGAACACTTAGCTGAAATCATGTACTTACATTTCTAACAAAACATTTAATCTATCTGTATATGTTTTTTGCCATAAGGGGTAAATAATGACACAGCCAGTGGCGCAATGCAGCTTAGAGAACGCTAGTTCAAAAATGGGCCTCAGCCAAAGGGTGCCCTCAAATAATTTATATATCCTTATCTTATGTAAAAAATTGAGTGCAGTCTCGTTCTGTTTGCTGTTTTTCCTCTTCTTTGTTTCCTATTCTTTGCTTTGCTGTTTTTCTATCCTGTTGAGCCCTGGCTGCTATAGTGTAGCCTGCGTGCAGACTCGATTTTGGGAAAAGTAGGAAATTTCACGTAGGAAATTTTGAGTCTGCACGCAGGCTACTAAAGTGAGGTCGAGGGCTGCTTGTTTGACGCTTTTGTTTGAGATACTGGAGTGAAGGGGAAAGTCGTTGGAAGGAAGAGGAAGAATCTAGCAGAAGAAGAAGAAGAAGTAATTCTGAAGGTATATTCAAGGAACAATACGAAACATCAGGGAATAATATGAAGAAAATTGAGATGAAATCGTTTGTTTTGTAAATAATTTATTGTTTCCTTTCTTGTACTGTGCTGATTTGATTCGTTCGCTGCCTTAGTCTTACTAAATTTAACGTATACAGTCCTATTCTAGATCTGAATCTTCAGAACTGTACTTTCGAATACCTTTCAAGGTATGTATCATCTGCTCCCTAAGGTGGGAAATACACTTAGAATTCCCTTTTCCTTAGCAGGGACGTCGCCAAAGGGGGGGTACGGGGGTGTGGTACCCCCCCCAACAATTTGTCAGTCGGCACAATAAGGATATTTCCCGGGCAAAAGCAGCAATTTTGTACTCGCCCTGTAACCTTTTTGCAACAATTGTAAAGTTTAAACATTTCTGTAGTAGCTGAACTTTCGAAGTATGGCGCTGAAGTATGAACTTTGCACCAGAATTGCATAAAAGCAGCATATAAGTGTCTTTTGACCACACCCTTAAAGTGTGAGACACGCCCTTTCTGTCAGCAAAAAGCACTTCTTTACCCCTCCAAACATTTTTTTGACTTCGCCCCTGTTCCTTAGACTTGAAACTTGATTCTATGCAGGTAAATTTCTATATTTTAAGACATCGCTCAATTTTAGCTAATGCTTTTTAACTGAAGCTTGTATAACTCAACCCCCCTCCCCCCTCCCTTGTTAACGAGAAATCATATTATTTTAAACCTTGCTATTTTGTTTGACACACACTACACTATTAGATGACCCTTCTTGCAATCTGTAAATAAAGGCCCCGATTTGGTTTTTCCTATGGCCCCGGTGCCTCCTTTATGGCATTTTTAATCTACGGCGTTAAAAGAACCATATCAATATTCACAGATGACATCTTATTTGGTAATACTAAGAGAAATCTCCCTTAGATCTTTAGAGCTTTAAGATAAACTGTCATTAGGTGTATTTTCTTGCATTTTTGAGGATACTTAGATTCGGAAGGCCTTCAAATTATCAATTGTTGAATCACCTCAATTTCATCAATCACAACGTATTTTCAACTTTAATATATTTTGCACGAATAGTATCTAAGCAAATTAACAATATGGTTCTAAGGGCGTGGCAGGGTGTAGCTGGTTATTCAATTAGTCAATTCTACCACGCCCATTCAAAGGTTACTTTAGCTGGAAAAGGGATTAAGCAGATGCCGTTGTTTTGCTAAAAAACAAATGCCTTTGCGTAAACAGCAATAAGATAAATGGATTCTAAATACTGCTGCCTATTTCATTAAATATTGCTGCCTATCAACTGTGTGGCTGTTGTGTTTGGACACAGGCAGGGCATGGGACTTGGAAATGGGGCCTTTGTAGACAGCAGCGGTTTTAGGATTGGACCGGGGGCAAACACATCTACGGGACCCTTGTTCTTTACAATGTCTATCTTTTTTCTTAGATGTAGGGCCCCTTTTGGCTACCATCAGAGTGGGCCTGGGGCCATGGCCCCCTGGACCCCCCCTAAAACCGCTACTGCCTGTAGAGAATGACGATGCTAAATAAGACGATCATAATTGAAAAAGTAAATTGTTGTATTTTTGAATGGCAAAGATCAAGTTTTGGTAAGAAATTAGCTAGAATCTCAAGGTGTGTCCAGAATATGACTGCTACCCAAACTTTATATGTTTCTCTTGGTTTCATCTTGGGTTATGCAGCACAGGTATGTAATAGAAACAATAGAAAGTAGGCGTGGCCTGGGTGCTTCATAGGAGCTTCTATTGTTTTTCTTGGACCTTTCTCCGGTCAGTGGCAGTGCGATCGTAGTGTTTTCCTGACTCTGAGGTATGTATAAATAAATTAGAGTATTGATTTAACCAATAATACACTCATCTCCTGACTGGCTTTTAAGTTGAGACGTGCTGATGTTGTTGCTCAACTGACCACAAGAGCAAGAGCTACTTCTTCAAATAAGCTGCACACAGAATTGGTAACAAAGAAAACTTAGGAGTAACCATAAGGTGTTCTAAACAGTTCACAACATTTGTCTAATCATAAACTACTGTCACAAACATACCCTACAGAAAACTGACATAATAATTTTAGTTTTCTAACAAATCAATCAATTAACTAGATCTATCTTTGGAAGAGCCTTCTGAAAAAGTTTAAAATAACAATTTCAATGGGCAAATGAAAAAGGTTTCATAAAGTTATAGATAAACAACTAAACTTTGCTGTCCTGAGCTGTAGGCAGGTGGTCGACATTGCTGTCCTAAATCAACTAGCCCCCTACATCCATAGATCAGTTTTCAAAGCAGTGATTCCCACATCGCTAGGAATCCTTGTTTCCCGCTATATGGGTCCCAGCTAAATTCGACATACAATGTATTGACTCTTGATGTGAAAACTGACTGACCCAAACTGCCACGTGATGAATGTAAGGCGCGACCATATGGTCCATACTCCCTTATAGTTAACCTGGTTCTGTAATAATTCATATCGGTTTGGACAAAGCGGAGCTGTAGACGGGAAAGTGTGCCAGTAATCGTCCAGGAACAAGAGTAAGGACCATTATAGTTACCAGAAGGGTAGCCTGGTGATGAAAACACTCCCAAACGCCCCGATAACCGGCCGCCGCAGCCACGTCTAAACAATCCTTGGCCAGACGGACGAATAACAAGAATCATTGATGCATGTGATTTGCCGATTGGGCTTTCACCAAAGCATTTGTACATCCCACCGTCGCTCATCTTCAGGCTACCTATTAATAGAGAACCGTTTTGGAAGACCACTGCATCTTCTGACAGACGACCATCCACCTTACGCCATGTGATACTGGGCAGGGGAAAACCAGTCACATTGCAGTGCACTTTCAGCTGATCTCCAACAGAACTGACAATTTGGTTTTCAAAAATATACACCTTAGGTGGGACAAGAACAGAAAACGCTGCCTTACTTCTTGCCTCGCCCATAAAGTTGATGGCTGAGCATTCAAAATATCCGTGGTCTGTCGATGATACATTCTGTACTTCAAGATGAGTTGCGTTCGTTTTGTGATACCGTGTATTATTATACAAAACTCTTTTACCATTGTGAAACCAAACTATGGATGGGAGAGGATACCCACTCGCCTCACATGAAAGCATAACAGACTCTCCTTCGAAGATTTCGGTTTTCTCTGGCGGTAGAGATATAACTGGCACGTCGACAGTAGGACCAGGCGGTCCACGTATTCCAGGATCTCCCTTTAGCCCTTTTGGACCACGCGGCCCTGGCGGTCCTTGCACTCCACGCCTCCCTTCTTGTCCTAGATCGCCTTTCAACCCGCGAGGCCCCGGTAGGCCCTTTTCTCCTTGAATGCAAGTGACGGTATTGTTATAAAAGCAGTTTCTGTACAATTCATCTTTGTAGTGTTTAAGATAGGAACCAAACAATGTGTTAAGGGTAAGAAAGAAATCGTTTGGAGAGGTAGGTCGTTGTACATGGCGCTTTGCTCTCGAACCGACAACAAATTGATTGAAAACCTGCTGAATTTCATCAACTTCGAGCCTCTTTCTTTTGGCCTGAACTTGGAGTTCCAAAGTTTCGATTTTCTGGTTGCATTCTTCCACTTTATTTATCAAGCTGAAACATACAAATGTGCACGCTGTTGCCAGGATTACAGCCATCATTGCACTGGTCAACGAAAGGACGATCCATAATTTCATTTTCACGGTGCCTTCCATTTTGGATGTCTCTTTTCTGTGGTCGAACTTCTGGTTTCGTGGAAATCGGCTCCTGTTGTGCACAACTGTGACAAAAGGATTGCACGTGACTCTTATATTTTCATTCAATTCCGTGAGTAAATAAGCGCATTTGTTTGAAACTGGTCAACTTGAGTATAAAAGAGGTTCTGAGAGCAGGAATGTTGAAGAGTCAAGAGCTTGTTATTCCCGAAAATTAGCCCATTTTGCCTTCCCATGGCTTTCTTGTTCTTTTTATAACATTTCACTACACCTCTCATCTGGCTTGTTCGGGAGACGAAACCTCTAGCCCTTTGTTTCGAAACGATACCGTCTTAACGTGAAACAGTGTTGGAGGGTCGTGGCACAATATTCGCACAGTTGTTCTGTCTGTGACCACAGTACTCTTGAACTTTCCGTCAGGGCTTCAAGTGATAACGCGCATGTGCAATGACATCGAAACGGGGGCTAGGGCATGGTCTGGAACACAAGCACGATTCACCACCCCATTTGCTGACAAAGTGGGTAAGCCGTCCTTTATTCGCTTACACATAGTTTTTACAATAAAATATATTTTCAAGGGGGGTGTCATAGGCCCCTCCTCTCTCGTAGCGACGGCCCTGTACGTCTGGTACCCAGGGTACATAGGATCAATCATACGGGACAATGGATAGCAGCGTCGCCACTGCTCCAACATTGAAACAAATGACCAGGAACAAGAGCTGCGCCCTGGATATATTTATAAGAATCATGCCCTTTGAATGTCTTAAAGATATATTTTCATAACGAGTGATAATACATGAATACATTTAACAGCAACCAGTACTGCTAATTGATTTGAAAAAATTGATGGAGAACAGAACTCTTAACGACATCTTTGCAACATCATACAAATAATAATGTATCGACTGGATATTCAGTTATCAATAAATCAAATTTATACTACTCACTAATACCCATACTACTCATGAACGCTATTGTCTTATCAAGACAGTATTTCTTGAAAGCTTCAAGAGTCCAAAGCTCTTGCAGCTCTTAGATAAACGTAGGGTACTGCCCTGCAAAACTTATGATATATATGCAGACGACATTGTTTGGAGTACTGGCAGTAGCGGCGCCACGGGGGGGGGGGAGGAGAGAATCGATTCACTCAGCAGAATCGATTTTGTATTTCGTCTAATGCAAGAAATGCGACCTTTAAACTAGGCCTAAATTCGATGAGAAATGTTGGTTAATATTTGACACCGTACTTTTTGTGATGTAATCCTATGATTTTCAAACTGCCAATTTTAAAGGTTAGTCATATAGGCATTCCTTTCAGAAAAAATTGGCGTTTCCTGTTGGTAAAAGAGCGTTTTCTGGTGGTTAAAAGAACGTGGCTTACATTTTTTTGGTTTGTCCCACCCAGAGCTTAGTGGCTGGCGCCGCCATTGAGTACTAGGGCTACTACACCCCAAACGCCATTACATCCCCCATAGCCCCTAAGCCCTACAACCCATAGACCCCCACATCCCTTATAACCCCACATCCGCAGAAGCTCGTCCTTTACCCTGGGCACCAAAGCCACATATTTTCGAGCGCGTAAATAGAATACCATGCAGAGAAGTGAAGGAGCGGAATTTTATACATCTTGACTGAAAGGTGAAAGGGGAGATTCCCAAAACCTCTGTCAACAAAGGGGGCTATATCCCCCTGAGCCCCACTTCATGGCACCACTGACATAGGACCAGCTGCTTGAGCTTGACCATATACTTTTACCATAGCATCATTGAATATCAATTGGGTATAAACCAGGAAGACAAATAAGCATGGCCTATTTTTCCACAAGATATATGAATATAGTTTTCACCTTCTCCATATGATCTGTGTTAATCTGCGTGATTCGACACACCTTAAATGAAGATGTCCAATACGAAACAAGAAGTTATAGAACCTTAAAGTAATCTTAGAGGTTTAATCAAAATTGAGACATATTCACTCTTACTATACAATAAAGAACAATAGAACTCCATGTAACCAATGACCCTCTATTTCAACAGTTACTTTTCTTTACCAAAATCAACACACATCTTGCTTATTAATATCTTTGCTGTAGAGATTTAGTTCATAAGATTCTCCCTGATGAGTGCGCAAGCATGAAACTCAGAGTAATAGCCAACATCAAGCATGTTAATGTCAGAATAGACAACGCATACAAAGTTGTAACCTTTGAGCAATAAATACTTTTCGAAATATCATATCACTTTTTATTATTAAAATGAAATATAAATTTCATGAAATAGTACGCCACCTTTTTACGGTCAAATCAATTAAGAATTGAATTAACGTGCATGGATTTTATGAGAATCGAATGAGTTCGATTGATTAAGAATACTGATTGAGCAACATAAGAGTCTAACTGCCCTGTGTGGTTGCGACCCTGTATATATAGTGGCGTTTTGTGACGTCAACGGACCCTGATGGTTATATTTTGACAGTTCTGTTATTACAGTTATTAGATAGCCAGGCTGTAGACTGGTTTTTAAATCAAATGGATCTAATCTTTCTAGACTGGAAATTTATCGTAAATTAGCTCCTCCCACTTGTCTTGCAGAGTATTTACATGGAGTATAATGCACAGAACAGTGTTTTGCGTAGACCCTGCACTCTTTGTCTTATATACACCACTGATTAACTAATTGAATCATATATGCACCTTGCGTAACATATTAATGACAGTTGAAAAAGAGGCCAGGCCAAATCTATGTCAGCCCTAAATTGTTCGGAAGACGAAACTATCATTCCTTTGTTTCGAAACAATACCATCTTAAACCAGTCAGTGTTGCAGAGTCATAGCATATGCGCATTAACACAATTCTTGAACTTTCTGCCAGGGCTTCAAGTGATAATGCGCATGTGCAATGACCCCGAAACGGGGGCTAGTGCATGTCTGGAAGACGGGCATGATTCATCTCCTGAACAATACATAAAATTAAACGAATGATTCTGTAAATCATCGTTTGCTTCTCAAATGACTAAATGAAAGATGCGGCGTAATGGGAGATGCGTTAAAATTGTTTGAGTCTTATTTAACTGATCGTTCGCAAAAGGTTAAAGTAAAAATGTTCTTCAAAGAGACGACCCTGTCGTGTGATGTTCCTCAGGGTTCAGAAATAGGACCATTGTTGTTTCTGGTCTATACATTGCCACTAAGAGATATTATGTGAACGAAAGAACAAAAATTTCACATCTACGCTGATGATACTAAAATTTACATGTCATATCCTCCAAATGATGCAGCATCCACCTCAGTAGCAAGAATGGATGAGTGTATCAAAGAAATTGGATCATGGATGCTGATGAACAGGCTTAAGCTTAATGATGAAAAAACTGAAAAATTGGTTATTGGTACGTCCAGCAACAATGCAAGAAAATCCCAGACATACCCCTCAATGTTGGTGGCAGTGTCATTAAAGCCAATGAAAAAGCAAGGAATCTTAGTGTTGTTTTTGATAAAAATTTGACACTGAAATCCCACGTAAACGCGTTGTGCAAATCAGCTAGATATCATTCGCCTTGCTCGAGGAAGCTTTACCAGGGAGGCTGCAGAGAAAGCTATACACGTCTTTGTCATGTCAATACTTGACTGCAACAATTTTCTATTACATGGGTCACTATAATGTGAATTACAACAGCTGCAGAAGATCCAAAACGCTGCTGCAAGAATGTTAACAAGTGAACACAGTTACATAACACCAGTATCGAAAAGCAGGATACAGTACAAAATACTCATAAGTGTTTAAATTCTAGCGTTTAAAAGATCTTAAAACCTTTAAGTGTTTAAAGGATCTAGCGCCGGATTAAGTGTTTAAAGAATTATCAAAATTACGTAAGGCTTCTCGTTGGACTAGATTTGACGGTGATGAACTTTTATTAGATGTAGGAAAGACAAAATTAGTTACGGCTGGGGTCGTGCTTTCACAAATGTTGCCCCTTTTCTCTGAAACAGACTCTCCTATTCAGTTAGAGCATGCAACACTTTAGAAATTTTTAAATCTTATTTGAAGACACATTTATTTAGAAAGTATTTTATTGAACAAATTGTTTTAATTAGATTTAGTGAGTTAAAACCTTGTAAACTTTAACTTTTTTTAACATACGTTTTAAATTAGACTTGATGTTTCCAATTGTAAAGCGTCTATGAGCCATGTGGATATATGGTGCAATATAAATGCTTTTATTATTTTGTTGTTGTCATTAGTTGCCTTCTCAATGTCATTGGACCTTCTTATTATAGATGCACAAGAAAACTAAGTTCATAAAAAATCGCAAGATTGGTTTGAACATTTTATGCTTGAGGGGTCTTTTTAATGCAAGAGATCTGTGTACTGAAAATCCTAATAATCTATTTATATGTTTACTTTTTGTCGATACTAAGGTAGCATTTGTGCTTCACTATTAGTAACTGGCATTATGCAGATATTTTGAGAGGTGTATATAAAAGTATGGAAAAGGTAGTAAAAATGGCGGCTAAAATTCTAGTATCGATTTTTTAAGCCGTTTCACTACACAAATTTCAGAAAAGGGTATAGTGCTAATTTTCAAGCTTTGATTTTTTGAATAAATCTTAGACTGCAATGCTCAATATATGAGTTAAGAACCATTATCAAGGCAGTTAATTTCATGCATCAAATAATTAATACCGCCATCCCAAGCTTCACAACTATGTTCAATACAACTGTGTTTGAATATTAGTCTCATGTCAAGGAAACCTGATTTTCTATATTTATGTGAATCTGTCTTTTCTGTGTGAAATCAAACATCACAAATTTACAGATACTTGATAAACTGTGCAATGAAATTCCAAATGGAAGCTGAGCTGGGCGTACTTGTAGATATGATTTTAATGATGATTTTTATCAGGGCCGGCGAAACCGGGGGCCATGGCCCCCCACTTTCCTGCAGAGCTAAAGATAAATTTTAGGTAAAAGTGGAAATAAATGTAGTATATGATTCTGTAAGTAACTTTGCCTAGTATTTTCATAGATGTGTCCTTAGTTTTATTACTTTCGTTGCTATGTCTTTACCATAGAAGACAAACATAACATTGAATATGGGAATTAGATCGAAGAAATCGATCATTGTCTAAGTTTTACAACGGGTAACAGCTTGGCTTAGCAAATAGATCGAGAAACCTAGTCCAGAATAACTTGGTGCCAGCATAAATTGACGGAGTTTCGTTTTTTCTATTGCCTAAACTTGGCACACAAGGTCTATTTGTTAACGAGTGTTAAATTTCTCAGAA